ATGTAACGGTCACTTTTTAGTCCAAAGGCGCAATTTGCTCAGAAGGACTATTAATTTCGTTTTGGCATTATGCGTTGATTCACTTTTTAAACTGTTGCCACCAAATGTTAGATCCCTGTATTATATTTAAAGAAATTAAATAATGAAAAATCTGCATAAATGTGTGTATGTTTGTCGCATTGTGATAAAACAACGGTACATAGAGCCATCGGATTTTGAATGACGTAATCTTCCAATGAATATGGGCGTCTGGAAGTCCAAATTTGGGATTTGAAATTTGTTTTATTATCTATTTCTAATTTTGTAACATTTTAACGAACTTTTAACAAACTTAACGATTTCAAAGCGAGCAATGGCAATACTGTAGGGGGGGGACACTTTTTTTTATCTCCAGCTCGCGAGACTGCGTATCGGATATTCTAAAGATATGCTCATTTTAAAATTATTTTGCGATATTGCTGTTGAACTGAATTTTATGGTTTTAAGTGCGAAGAATATGATCTTTAATAAATATAGGTAACGCATCAAACGTTAAAGTAAACGCCAATTTGGGCGTAATGTAAAATCTGAAGGCTTTCAGATTCTTTTTTACTTCCTTGTACGAAGTAAAAAGGCAGTATTGTAATCGCGAAAAGTTTCAGGCAGCATATTTCAACGAAAATATCCATTTTGACCGCTATCGAATGCAATTTAACGATGTTTTTGAGTGATATCTGTACGTAAAGACAGAATAAAAGACTCTTTTCCTCCAAAAAAATTATAAAACTGCTTTAAAATGAATTCTGAAGAGACTTTTTTTTGTGGCGTATGTACGAACGTATGTACATATGTACGTACGTATCTCTCATAACTCAAAAACGAGTAGCCTCAAAACGTTGAAGTTTTATATATAGGACTGCTATAACATGTAGATGTGCACCTCGTATTTTGGTTGCAATCGGCCGCACCAAACGTATATAAATATATTTATATATATATCCACTCTGTTACCCGGCTCAGTCTAATAAGTTTAAATGAAATACAAGAAAAAATGCGTATAATTTAATATTCCGTACAAAGAAGTCATGTGGTGTACACATCAGATTTTTTGTTATTATTCTTATATTTACCATGGATTTGAAAATTTGGGACTTACCTAATCATGAAACATCTTCCATACAATTTCTTCAAGAACGGGGAATCATTCGTTTTTGAAGCAAGTGCACGAAAAACCATAAAATGAAATTCTACTTTAATTCGAATGAAGCACCGGAATGGAGATATGAAAATCCGGATTCAAACATTTCGGCGTCAACCACAAGCATAATTTTGTCGATCCCGATACTAGTTATCATACTCAAACTTTTGAAAAGTTATGGGACAGTGCGAAATAGACTTCAAAGCGGCATTGCACGTAACAAATTCGATTCTTATTTGAGTTAATGTGACGGCAGCAGCGTCCTAAAACTCAAATCTTTTCAGACATTTTAAATGGCATCAGAAGTTTCATGCCTCCACATTATTCTCACTAAATTCTCTAACCGATTTTTTTTCTCATTTCTTTGGTAAATTGCTTAATTTACATTAAAAATTTCTGATTGTACGAATATCTGTTGTTATTTTTTCCCTTAGATTTTTCTTCAACAAAATGTATTGAAAATATTTTGGCGATTATTTTCATTCTTAAAATTTTTCGCCAGATCGTCAGCTTTTGGCGATATCTGAATCCGTTCTCGATTACGGAACAGTACCAAATACATCGGTTATAGTGGTCAACAGTTCAGTTAGTATGGTCGAAGTACCATAGAATAGATTTTTTAAACTATTCTAAAGTCGCCAAATGAGTTCAAAATTCGTGATAAAATTTGCCAAGCAACAAAAAATGTCGCCAAGTAAGGGATTAAGTCACCGAACACGTTAGTTTTGATTCTAGTCAGTTACTTTAAGTTTATGGAAAAAAAACTTAATTTAATCTAGAGTTTCAATAACTCTAATAACAATTTTGGGAGCGATCAGACAGTCTTCAGGAATAAAAACCGATTCTGCAGAATGTTTAACCCTGAAACGGAAGTTCTTTGAAAATATCAATGCCTAACAAAGGTAGCTTTTTTTTTACCTAATTTTGAATTTTACACTGTTGAGCTGTTTTCTATTGAGACGTGCTATTGGTGTATTAAGACTAGCAGCACAGTAGTGGTCAAATAATTTCAGAAACGTCAGTTAATATATGAACTTTTGCATTACAGGCACTATGCTTGTGAAATGAACTATGAATGAACTATGAATAGTTCATAAATGAACTTTTGCGTTTTCCTAATAAAAATACTGCGAAAATACACTGAAAAAAAAAAAAAAAAAAAGGTGGGGGGACAGTTCTATATCTCCCGTTCTACTGAGCCGATTGACAGAATTCAACTTGCTTTTTCCATGTTTCGAAAGCGCGTCTTAGGATATGTATTAGATTTACATATAGCATTTTTTTAATATAGGTATTTCGACACAAAATCAGACTTTCTCTGAAATGACATGCCAATTTTTTTTCCATATATCCTTTCTAAGACTCAAATTATGTCAAAGTGCCAAGTTTTGTAAAAATGGCACGAATAGTTTTAAAAAATCAGCTCTCAAAATTTTAATTCAGAAGTCAAACAACAAAAATCAGCGTTATAAAGAACTAAATTATTTAAAAGCAATAGCCGTTGACAGGAGCTTTTCACCCAACATTATGAATCAAGCAGTTAAAAAATTCTTATCTCAACACACTAAAAGGCACACTCTTGTTTTAGGAGATTATAAAAATTCTGTTGTCATTCCCTTCTTTCCATCAATTATCTATAAAGCTGCACATATTTTGCAGAAATTTAACTTTCGGGTTGTTTATTCTCCCATCAAATAAAATTCCCGAGTTCCATACTCAAGGACCCCATTCCGGATATGAATTCCTGGGGTATTTATATAGGATTCCTTGCCAGTGTGGTTTAATTTACATTGGCCAAACTAAGAGAGCCTTAAAATTTCGCGTCAAGGAACATGAGGCATATGTTAGAAAAAAGGAAACACAGAAGTCTTTCTGTTGCTCAACATTGTTGGTCCGAAAATCACACTTTCAATTTTTCTGCTGCCAAAATTATTCAAAAAACATCTTCCATTGGAGAACTGGATTTTCTAGAGGCATTTCACATTCAAAAAAATCTTTCTGTTCTAGTTAACGATCCTAATTCCAATCCATCTTTGCCTTCGGCCTTTAAAAGAAATTATGTTTTAGTTCTGGTTTCGCCAACAGATGGCGCCACTAGCTTATTTTCTGTCCAGGCTTTCTTATCTTATCTAATCATTACATTTCCTATCTTGTTCACTTGCGGTTTTGCAGCTGACGATGGTGGTTCGGTAAAACCATCGAAACTACTCCTGCGAAAATTTGAAAATATAACGCAGATTTTTGTTGTTTGACTTCTGAATTAGTATTTGTTCGGCGTGTTATTGTGTCTTAACAAGTGCATTTTTTTTTGGTGCATTACAAGAGCTTTGAAGTTCTGCAAATGCAACTCTGTTATAAAAATAATTTTTTTCTATGTTGACATAGCATTAATATGTGCTGTATTATTGTAAATGGCTATAGCCTTGAGAACCATAGAGGTGATAGTAGGACTTTACACAGTTCCGCACCCCAGTTTCGACGGAGAGCGCCTAAGAGAGAGGGAAGCTCCGAGGGATTTATACACCTTTTCCCCTATCACCAAGCTCTCGAAAGGACTTTCGGCTGGCCACATATTTAGGGGTGGCATCTCAGCAAATTCACATGTTAGAACTGGTGTCAAATGACGACTGGCCGTTCGCTATACAGGTAAAGGTAAAGGTAAAAGTATGGGGGACACCAGCGGTGTATCATAGGTCAACTGGTAATGCCTTCCCATACTAACTCTTTGACAGAAAAAAAAAGGGGGGTAATTGCAAATTTTATAAGAATTTGCATAGACTGAAGCTTTGCAAAAGGTCTAAAGTTTGCCTATTATGGTACATCGTGCAATTCCACAGTACGCCCCGCATCCAGTATTTATTAAAAATAATGGTTTAGGGCATAAGTAGATTACAAAACAGCAGGAATACAATTTGAGATTCACAAGATAAATCGAACATCTGATTTGGTGCAACAAAAATAGGAAATAAACATAATTAATAAACAAATAAACATAATGAGATAATTATAATTAGTACTGGCAACACAATGTTAAATGAATTGTTATAATAATGCTAAAGAGATAGGTGTCCATGGGTTATTTCAGATATATTGGTTTATTGCAGTTTATAAAGTTCACGAGAGGATCCATTTTGTCCATAATCACAGCATGTAAAAGTTCACTAAGTTTAAACTGTATGTGGACTTACACTTGACAGAGATCTAGGCTGTAGGAAGAGAGTCGTTGCATAATTTTCTGAAACTTTGGATATTGATGTTTATCTTTAATTAAAAATCTTTAGAATGCCAGTTAGGCAGCATACACTGCCCGTTCGGGGAGTAGAAAACAGGTCCTGTACGTCACACTCCCAGAACCGAGACGCCCAGAATATAGATTTCAGCCAGTACAATAAACGACACGGTGAGGGTTGAAAGAGGATAAAACATAAATTTGAACATACTGGATAAATTCAGGGCATAAGACAATTTTATCTAGTAATGGTGCTTTGAATGAAAAGTTGGTTGAAGGAAGAAACCTAGATTAGATCCTTTTACATTCTTCATTTCAGGAAATGTCCCTTAGAAAGTCCTCCACAAAGGCATCCCTCCCCTTAGGCAGATAGCCCTCGAGGCTTTGCCTAATACACACACACACATTTCAGGAAATCAAAGGTTTTATCATGTATAAGCTTATATACCGCTTTTAGCAGACGACACGAAAATCTGTAGTTAGTTTGTGAGGCAGTCCGTAATCGTGTTTCATGCAAAGTTCATGCAAAACTTCTCTTTATATTTAGATCTAAGCTGAAATTCAGTGTCATGTCAAGAGTAAAAGAAAGCAATGCATTTTAACATTTCATATTTAATGAATAATCTCAGTTTTTACATCCAACGCAGAGCAACTTTAACAATTATTTTTGGGATCAAATTCCAGACGTTCTGTATCAATCTTTAATGACTTCAGCTTCTCCAGTAAGCTCTTCTTTTTAGCATCACTGAGTGGAACATCCCTGGTTAGAATCGTAGCATATTCTAGAGGAAATAATTTGCAAAATTATGGTCTTAAATAATAATTAAAATTTCTTTCTGCTGAGAGAAAAAACTAATCTGTGAGGTACGCATTAATTTTATGACAAACAGGTAAGACACTAGAAATATAAGTAATTGAAAATAAGTGCATAATCAGTTTTAATATCTATAAGTTCGTAATTAAATTAAGAAGAATGAGCTGTTTCTCGATCCGATTTAATTAGCGATTATGCGAACTTCTGCGTTTTGGGAGATCCTTGTCCTTTCAGCTATCATGCAATGAATCTATCTTACTAACCCATGCAATTTCTCGCCCAGGGGGGAAGAAATATCACAGAGAGAAAGGATTTAAACTGCCGTTTTTGTTTTATTAACTCTGTAACAAACATGCCGGTACTTCGTGCTGAAAATAACACTGACTACTTGCGGTGGAAACTTAAGGGTAAGTTGACAGTAGCTTAAATGGCAAAGAGTTCTGCTAAACTGCTTACAACTAACAAGCTGACTCAGAAACCTAAACCGGTAGACTTTAAATAAAGGGCTAGAAGGTCTATCAGCAACTCAGAGTAACAGCAGCAAGGACAAAGTAGCAACGTGCGCAATGCTAGCGAAATCACGCACTAAATAACTTCCCTCTAGTAGCCGCGATTAACGTGCTGAATGCTTGTTATTTTACGCCTGTCTTGATGTGGTTGCCTCAGTGGGCGATTGAAATAGAGTGACTACTTGGCCGATGGGTCCAGGAGACTAACTAAGATGGTTGGTGGGTGAGTACGTGACACATAAAACAGTCTTATAACAGTCCTAGTTGCTATGCAGAATAACTTGGAGAACAATACTGATGAGACCATATCAGATCAGAGTTCATGATCGCGTGTGTCTTTGTGATTCGGGTTGAATTCATACGAAAGTGGGTTAATCTTCGGATTATGGTAACTTGACGATTTCTTGGCGAAAATTTGGCGACCAACTCTGTACAGCAACCTGCTAGTTTTTTTTTTAGACGCCATTTTGTTTTCACGAAGTAAAGGCATTTTTTTTTTTACTCAAATTTTTCAGCAATCTCCAGCAATTAGCTTATGCTCCTCCAAAAGTGCTTAGCCACAAAAGAACAAAAAGTGCTTAATCATGACGAAGATTAGGTGCGAAATTGGGAGAAAGTGCAGAATCGCTCACTGCTTGCCGCGTTTTTAAGAATTGCACATACACGGTATCATCCATGTGCACGTCGACCTATTTTCACTTAAAAAAACATCCCAGAATTGCACAAAAATGGCATTGCGCACAGGCTTGACTCCTAGCTTGTAACCTTTATCGCCTTACCAAAATGTCGCCAAACTACCTGTTACGATATTCCAAAGATTAGCCCGAAAGTGCAGTAAACAAAATATATTATAGAGCAATAAATAATAAATGAAGATGTAAGATTATATATAATTAATTGTAGAAGGCAGTCTATGAATCTATGCGCAAATCATAGACACTAATTTTCAATAACAGGAGCTACATAGCACAACGAGCAGAATCCGGAGTGACGTGGGTGGTCGCCCACCCAAGTGCTGTCTCTGGAGAATGCTGCTGGAATCTGCAGGAATTAAAATATGAAAATAAAATACATTTGTATAAAATACTGTCATAACTGTACAAGAAAGTTTAAGTAGAAAAGGCCTGGCTTTCACTGACGATGAAGACTGCATTAGGGCGAAGATATTTATCTTCGTTGAGCACTTCGTAGTGAAAAGTTCGAAAAAATTTATTTGGTTACAATATTGAGCACTCTCGAAAAATTTTTTATCAGCTTTTCTTAGAAAATTATCCAAGGTATCCAGTTTGAAGTCAGCACGTGGAAGTTTATTTCCAACCAAATAGTGTGCATTAGTGCTGACCTCAAAAATCTGTTTTGTACAACTTAAATCTTGTGTATAGCCGAAGCAGCAGTAGCAGCCCAAGCTGGTGAAGCATAGTCATCAAGGGTCCAAATACTTAAAGTGTAGATGAGTGTTTTCTTTGCAAAATCAAGCTTTAAATATTTCCCTGTGCTGGGAAGTAAGCATTTTCTGACTTAAATTGTTTTGCAACTCACGTGATAATTGTAATATTACCACGTGAGTCTGACATTAACGATCATTCCTAGGTTATTAGCCTTTAGAAGAATGTGCACCGTCGGCTTAAAAAGGAAGACATTTTCTTTGGCTTTAAACTGCGCGTTTTTCGTCTAACAAGCTGAAGATGTGACTTTTTTGCGCTAATACATATTTTCTAATAGCTACACAACTCTTCAATAATCGGAATGAGCGTTTGCAGCATTTTAATGAGTCTAAATAACTTTCTCTTTTTGCCCGTTTCAATACTCTTCTTCACTTTAACTTTGTTCGCATCCTGGCGAGGAAATGCGAGGGGAAATTGAGGAGTACAGGAAAGATAACAAAAATTTGAATAATTGGTTATTCAAACTAAGGGAAATCTTATAGTTTAAACCATGCTATATTTGAGAAACATTTAGAAATTATCTGACAGAATATAATAGTAAATATACATTTTATAGATATTACGAGCAGAGAAGCAAATTTATGTACCGTATATCTTATAAGCCTTTCCCTAAAGTTAACTATAGATTTATACTAGAGTTCAAATATTGTTATCTCGTAATATAACACATAATATATGAACTTAAGTTAAGTAATTTCTCCAAAAACACTAATTACATTTACTTACCAACTTTGTAGACTGAAGAAATATCACAGAGGTAAGTAATTACATAATCATCGTACTTTGCATCGACAATGTTGAAGATATTATCCAGTCCCACTATAATTTGTGTAAACGAATAAATATGTAAGTAAGTAACTATATAAGTAACATACAATAAATTCATAATAAGTAACATATAATAAATTAAAATGCTTTCATTAAGGATTAGAAGTATTTCACTGAATACAAAAGCAAGAAAAAATTCATTCCTAAATTGTTTCGTATGCGCTTGAAAATATGGTTAGACCACATCATCGGTTAATGTAAAATCTGCTGTAGGTATTATAATGTTTATAGTGGTATTATAGTGTTATCGAATTTGTATAAAAGTTTTAATCGGTATATCCGTTTTGACCATTGACTAGGAAACATAAGCCTGGGAAATATCCACCACAAAATTTTGCAATTCAGCTTCAGAGTTACATCGAAAATTACGTTTCGGTTTTCGTGAAACACTCCATTATCACATGTGATACTCATCACTGTCACTGATGGACTTGACGAACTGCTATATCCATATTTATGCGACTTCTCTATACTTGTTATTTTTATGTTTTAACCTAGGATTATTATTATTGATGTTCGTTTTACTTCTACGAAACTCTTTGTAACTTCTTAAGTGTGTGTGTTTGTATTTTTAACTGGCAATTTTTGTTTTGAATTTCTTTTGAATGTAACAGTTATTGCATAATAATAATATTATATTAGTTTTTACATCATTAATAAACTCTATAGTTTAATTATTTGGCCTGAATTTAAATTCAATATCGCCCTTGACAGAATGGAAGGAACAACATAATTTCGGCACTGTTGGAATCAACAGCAAAACCTAGATACTTGAGGATTACAAATGCATCTGTCACTGGGCCTAACAACCTGCAGATTTTGCTCACCTACGAGAGCATCTGGAGCTCAGAAAAGACTCGTAATCTTTTTCATTTATGCCCAAGATGACGTTTTCAAGTACGCCCCCATTGCTAAATGTAGTTGTGCTTCTTTCACTAACCACAGATGTTTACCGAACTGAGCTGTTAGACAACTAGTGCATATGCAATCTGTGCCTTGATATGAGACATGCATGTTATCTATAATATATCGAGTATTTTTCCTTTCCGAATGAAATACGCATATATATTCAGCCGTTAAAAGTTTCATAATTGAGCTCTATAATAAAAGGCGCTCTGAAATAGAAAACTACATGAAACTATGGACAATCTTTCTTAACAAGAGACGGCCTTACATTCAAACGACTACAAGCACCCGAAATAATCACGGGTACAGTTTTTCCAAATGCATTGTATCAGTTTATTGTAGAGAGCTTATCATAAAAGGCTAATGGATGTTTCTTTGTTAGGAAGTAGAAATGATGTGATTTGAAATCGTCACGCCTTTTTGTGCTTAACTGGACATCGAATGAAGAAGACGGATGGGACGGGTAATGGACGTGACGATCGTTTCGGTATTTAAACTATGAAGGTTAACGAAGACTTCAGTTTTGTAAAGGTTACATGTTGAACATTGCAATTATACTCAAATATATTGGAAACAAAACTTAAAGTTTGCCTGAAAGAATAGAAAGAAAGCAGTAAAATTCAATGATTAACCGAAAAACCAATACATGAATTTAATTAGCAAACTCGAACATTTATAATTCCTTGAAAACTTAAATTTACTTCCGATGAGCACTGATACCTCTAAAAGACTGTAAGGTCAAATACTGTGAAAAAATGTTAAAATGTTTCATGTAAAGAATGTGCATTACATATATCCTAAGTACAGTGGAACGTTGGTTCACGAACGCCTCAGCTAACGAACAAATCGCTTCACGAATAAATTTTCCAAATAAAGAATGTATTTAATGACGAAAAACTTCTCGAGCTGCGAAGAAGAAAGTCGGCAATAGATGCAATAGATAGTCGGCAATTAATGCGATAAAAGAATGTCTACCGAAAAAGAAGATGGAAATTGGAACAAATTAGTGGTTTTTTGATTCGTAAAATTTGTGCAAAATGGGGGAAAAATGCAAAATTTCGCAGAACATTATCGCATTGATAAAGCAACCCATCGTAAATATTTGACCGTCTTGCTTTTCGAACATTTTAAACCGTAGATGAAACAAATCACAGTGGATAAATTCTTAATGGGACAAAATTTGAGTGATTCTCTGGCAGAAGCGAAGTGAGTAGTGTTATGTGAAAGAGAAAATATTAAATATTAGTAATAAACCAGAAAGTCAGGACATATTTTTATGGAGTAGAATTTCCTTTTTCAGACTATAACTTGTTTGATTGCACTTTTGGCTTTATCACCGTTTCCTACTTGCGCCGTCAATTTTCCTTTATAGACATAATGGATACATAATGGATAAATTTAATTCATAGTTCCATACTTTTATGTTTAGTACTGGGTAAAATGTCGCATTCTACGGGTTCGTGGATTTGAAGTAAATGACGATAATACTTGATGAAGAATCAAAACACAATTCATTCGCCAGTATTACACAGGAGAGTTCTAAAGACACGTTTACAATCGTCGAAAAACTACGACAAACATACTGAGACAATGAGTAATACTGTGTTTAGTTACAACGGCTAAGACGCAGCTTCAAGGCAAAGCACTAAAGTACAGCTCCCGACTCGATTTGGTCGCTTTCAAGCTAATCTTTGGACTGAAAACACTTTTAATAAACAGTTTCTTTCTATATAGCTTTAACCCACCTTCGAGAACATCCACGAGGAAAAACTCTAAGAATACGTTCTAGAATTTTCTTGCTCTGTCTATGGCATATTGCTAATTTTGACGCCAAACGGACGATTTCGCACCAAACCTGGAAACTTTGCCTTTCCCTGCCACTTTCTGGCAACCCTAACCCCTTTAGCAGAGAAGCTATCTTACAGCAGCTCGGCATTTCGCAAAAATATATATATTAAAATTTTCTGTATGTTAGTTTTAATGAACTCCGCCGGCTTTACATTAGGAACTTACATACAAAGTACGCTTTTCTAGCCAGTCATTTGGGATTCAGGAACGAAGGAATTCATTTTACATTAATTCATACGAGAAAAATCGTCTCGGTCTATGAAAATTCCTGATGGCTAACGGAAACTGGTTCTAAATTAAAAATACTAAAATTAGAATTTTTTAAAAATTTTTAAATAAAAATTTCATTTATTTCTTTAAAAATAAACGAAACATATGTTCATATTCTTTTTAAGTAGCATATTAACTATTGCTTGTAGTTCATAAACAGCTGAATAATAATTTGCATTTAATAAGGATGATTATATTAATTCAAAATACAGACGCTGTTCACACATTTTTTAGACGATGTATATAGTATTCACAAAACTAAATTACATAAAATTCTTGTGTTTCAAATGTCCTATTTGACATCCCTTATTCTGAACTATCTTTTGACACCGAAATTTCCAGGATAATAATGCCTTTTGATGTGGCAGAAGAGGTATTCTATCCCATTCCTTCCGAACACCTTTCCAGAGTCCTGTTAGGGTTTTGGGATAACGTTTGGATAATGCAGTTTTTAAAAGTGCGAAAGCACAAAAATCCATAGGTGACACATCGGGAGATTTAGTAGGGATATCAGTGAAGTGTATGGCCTTGATACCAGTTTTTTGTTCCATTTCTTTTAGGAAATTTACAGTGGATTTTGATGTGTGACTGCTAGCTTTGTCCTGATGGAGTCTCACAGATGGATGGCACTTTGGGTAAAGCGATGGTATTTCATTCAGAAAAATGGGCGATAAAATATGTTCTTGATAGTATTTGGAGTTAATTTTGACATTTTTTGCACTCTCTTTATTTTTAACTTGCCACTATAAGAAAAACCAGCAACAATCATGAATCCCTTAGAAAAACTTTCTTTCGATTCTTTGAACCATGTACTTAAATTTTTTTCTCCCCTTTTATGATAATAAATGGCTTTTTTTTTGTTACAATCATTTAAATATACCCATGCTTCATCTATTGTGACAATTGTTTTCCATTTTTCTTTGGATAAGTGTTTCTCACATAGAATTCGGCAGCGTGTCCAGCGTTGAGCGATATGCTTTGGAAGAAGACGATGCACATTGCGTTTTTTCGCTTAAGATTTAAATGAACGTTTATCATTTTGTTTACAGTGAACACCGAGCATTTTAAGGATTTTGCATTTGTTTTTTGACTAGGGGGATTTTCTTTTAACATTAAACAACGTACCTTCGCAATAGTCGAAGATGTCCGTGTTTTCCTTGGATATATGTTTGGAATTTTTGTCCCACTTGAGGCTCCAATTTGACGTTTTTTCCTTTTGTTGATGATATTACCTTGACGGTTTAGTTTAGATATCACAAAACCATGATCTTACACGTTTTTGGATAACGGAGTATGCATATTTCTCGGAAAGCGTCAAGTAACCTCCGAACCACTACTTTGTTAAATTCGCCATTTTGAATGAAAACAAAACTTTCAAGCCACAGACGATAATTTTGCCTTTTAAAAGCATAGTACAATTGCAATTACTTCTTTTGCGGCAAACGATGTTTTATTACCGCTTACCAAAATCGTCTAAAAAATGTGCGAAGATGAATACAGAAGATGAATATAATTATACAGGATGATCATAAGGTATTTTACCTTTTAGAATTAAACTGCTGAAAATATAGAAGTAAACGATATCTAATCATTATAATATAAAGTAAGTGCATATTTACTACTATAGAATGCGACCAAGCCCAAGTAGACTGAAGAGCTCATATTATAACAAATTTGCCAAACTTCATATCCCGCCAAAAGGTTAGAAGATTTTGAATAAAACCCTTTAATGCTTTGTAGGTATGCTTACGAATATATCTATTTAAGATGGTGGAAAAAATTTTACAGAATATAATTTACAAAATGGTTTCGAAATATTTATAAAAATTATTTAAAATTACAAATTAAAAAAAATCATAAAAAATCAGCGAATCTTAGTTGGAATGAACACTAAATTTCAAATATGAAAGGAAGAAGGAAATAAGTTTAGTAAAAAAAAAAGAGATGTTAATAAATATTATACCAAATTCAATTAACATGGAGGAGCTAAAATTTTGAGAGCTAATTTTTTAAAAACCTGCTCATGCGATTTTTACGAAACATGGCAGTTTGGCATTATTTGAGACGTAGAATCGAAATATAGAAAAATGTTGGTATGTTATTTCGGAAAAAAGGTCTGATTTTGTGACAAAATACCTAATCGAGAACAATGCTATATATAAATCTAACATATATCGTCGTGCTTTCGAGGCATGGAAAATGCAAGTTAAATTTCGACATTCGTTCAAGTAGAACGGGAGATATAGAACTGTCTCATTTTTTTGTGCAACTTGTACAAAATGAAGTTATTAATAACTGTGTACTCATAAAAGATAAGCAGTATATTACTTTAAGTCTGTCTTCGTTAATGTTTCAGCTAGATATAATCAAAATCATGTTTATTGTTTTAATGTTGATAAAAATGCAAAAGAAAAATACCAGAAGGCATCGTGATTCGCACTTTCCCAGGACTATCAGGAACGCTGGTCATTTCACCTTCGAGATTACGTCTTTCCTCCCATCTATGTACAATATGGAATAAGATATTTTAAAATGGACTTAAAATATTTTATATTATTTCAATAATTAAATGAATTGTACAATATGGGGAAATATTTGAATTTAGTTACATATAAATAATGGTTTATGTAACACTTTTAAATCGGAATCTGAAGCAAAGTTTTTTACTTTGGGAAAATAGACTCTACTCTTTTATTTGTTTAAGCGCTTTAGAAAAGTAATTAAGGTACAATAACACGCCGAACAAGTACTAATTTAGAAGTCAAACAACAAAAATCAGGGCTATATTTTCAAATTTTCACAGGACTAGTTTCGATGGTTTTACCGAACCATCATCCTCAGCGGTAAAAACGCAAACGGCCAAGATAAGATATAGTGATTAGATAAGAAAAGATAAGAAAGAACGGACGAAACTCAAGCTATTAGCGCCATCTCTTGACAAAACCAGAACTAAAACATAATTTCTTTACAGGCTGAAGGATAAGGTGGATTGGAATTAGGGTCGTTAACTAGAACAGAAAGATTTTTTTTTGAATGTGAAATGCCTCTACAAAATCCAATTCACCAATAGAAGATGTTTTATGAATAATTTTGGCTGCAGAAAATTTGAAAGTGTGATTTTCGGACCAACAATGCTGGGCAACAGAAGACTTCTGTGTTTCCTTTTTCTAGCATATGCCACATGTTCCTTAACGCCAAATTTTAAGGCTCTCTTAGTTTGACCAATTTAAATTAAATCACACTGGCAAGGAATCATGTAAATACCACAGGAATTCAAATCCAGAATGGGGTCCTTGAGTATGGAACTCGGAAATTTATTGGTTGGGAGAATAAACGACCCGAAAGTTAAATTTCTGCAAAATATGTGCAACCTTATATCTAATTGATGGAAAGAAGAGAATGACAACAGAATTTTTATAATCTCCTGAAACAAGAGTGTGCCTTTTGGTGTGTTGAGAGGAGGATTTTTTAACTGCTCGATTAATAACGTTGAGTGAAAAGCCCCTGTCAATAATTACTGTTTTTAAATAATTTAGTTCTTCATCAAGAGATAGTTTGGAGGAGCAAACTTGAAGAGCAGGGAAAACATAGGAATAAAACGAAACTAACTTTGTTTCATGGAGGTAGGAAGTAAGATGGAGTCGCCCTAAACAAGTTTCTCCGTACCCTGCTCTGAAGCACCGGCGATTCCTACGTGGTCACCAAAACATTGGGTCATTTACCATTGAGTTCTATGGGATTTGACCTGTTCGGGTGTAAATATTTTGTAATTACGTCGCAAATATACATATAAATGTATATATTTTCTTTTTCTACAACAGTTCAGAGTCCTAAGTATGTGAAAATAACATATTTTTAAACAACATTTCATTCTGAACGGAATTAAATGCTATACTTTTCGCAGGACAGTTTTCTCAAAATGGTTTAATTTGAATGAAATATTTTCACAAGTTTTCGTTAATTACATTAGAAAAAAAAATTAAGGTAATTCGATTTTATTCGGTTAAGGTACAAAAATTAGATCAAAGTTTATTGTATTATTAATATTAAAATTATGGCATTATTTCTTTTCTATTTATAGAGCTTCTTCCTAAATACTTCTCTTAAATATGACACCGATTTTTTTGGCTTCTTTTAAATCGAAAAATGTAAGTCAATTTATAATTAATGCTCTATTCGGTTGATTTTAAATTAGAGAATTATTAGGAATTAGCGAATATTTTTAAATAAGTATTTCGCTAATTCCTAATAATTAAATAGGTATTAAATAGTATTTGACTTCTCTCTGAACATTTCTGAAAGGGAATGAAATAAGTTTTTTTTTTTTTTTTTTATTTTTTTTTAAGTATTATTTAAAACTTGTAACGGAGTTATTATAAAATGTAAAGGGAATAATTCTTTTAATTATACTTATCAGATTTTTTTTTATCCTTCATTTCAACAATACATATTCCGAAAGTCTTTATTACGTTCTTAAGTACGCATCTCATAGCATTTGCTTTACAATACCTTTTAACAGATTGCTTTCCAATACGAACAATTCTTGCTTAAATAGTTTTATAACGGATTTGTCAACAGGATTTCAATTTATGTTTACAATTCAATATTAAGGTTATTATATATTTAGATAACATTTATAATCATTATAAATTAGATACATTTAATCATTAGATTTCTTCACAGTACTTTCACAGTTGTTTATAAGTGAATAAATTCTTCATTTCAAATACATTTATAAGTAATTTAATGAATATTTAAGTATTTTGTCAAAGGCAGATACATGCTTTTTGAAAGCACATGCATAAATACCTATACATATTTCCTATTTATCATTTCCGGCATGTGCAAAAAATTTTTAATTTCTGTGCATTCACTATATTTTTCGTGTAAAGTAATTTACACTAATTTAGCATACACCCGAAAACACCCGAAAGTTTTACATACAAAATATATATGAATATAATTTGAATGAAAATTATAAGTATTATTTTTAATACCCACTCAAAGGTCAGTTTTTCTTCAAAATTCCTCCACGATGGCATCTCTCTCTTTAGGCAGATAGCCCTTGCATGCGTTACTCTATTTAATAAAAACTTAATTTGACCTATGTGCCTAATTACAAATATTTTAACATACATAGTTTTATATTGACATTTAGCCATCAAGTTTCAAACTTTTCAAATCTTCTAGAAAATAAATTTTGGCAGATCTCTTTTAGCAATTTTCTTAAAATCTATATTTTTGTAGTGCAACTGCTTAGAATTTTATAAAACAAATTCATAATCAAAATCGCTGTTGTTAGTTACCGAAAAATAACGAAGATGTGATTTTTGCGTAAATGTCAGTAAACTATACAAATTGCTATTATCCATTACACTATGAATGTTTCTTTCATGCGAGAGTGTCCCTTTTTCGATTTCTATGGAACTGTCGTGTGTCGAAATACTATCAGAATCTTGTCAAGCGAGCTTCTGAATGTAAACAAAGAACACCCCGTCTGGTGACCCAAGCTTCAAAGCAGTGCTTCACTTCTAGCGCGGAATGGTCCCTCCTCCCTTTCCTACCTCCATGCTTTGTTTAGCCGGATGATATGATTTAAAGTGTGGTGGAGGGCAAATCGATGAAGGTAAACCGTAGTACTGAAGTTGGATGTGTTACGTGGGACCAAAATGTCGAGAAACTTAAGAGGAAGAGAATTGCAAGTCTCAAGTTCAAAGGTGAACTGAATATCAGGATCAATGGAGTTCATTGTTGAAAGAGCTTAGTGTGCTCTTGTTAAGCAGTTATAATTTGAAATTAAATTAACGATCTTATGTCACGTAAAATGGTAACATTTTGGAAATTTGAAAAGGGAATCTGAGTGGAAGTAAAAGTTAAAGATATTACCATGGATAACAGACGACATATTTTTCTGGTTTTTTTTAACATCCACTAGGACTTCCGAAAGTTTCAATACTTTGCAAAGATTACCTTTAATAACTTAATAAACAAAAAAACTCTGTAATACATATAATTAGCTACATGCATTTAAAATTTCAAAATATTTTAGCAATTATTTTCTGAGTTATGAGAAATTGAGAATAAATAATAATAACTGCATTTAAAGATTCTACTACAAAGCGCTTTGAATATGTATAGAAACTCAGAAAAACCTTTTTAACACATGTAATAATCACGACATTGGAGGATTATACTTACTTACGAGCAAACAACATTTTTGCTAAAACTTTAAAATCAATTTTTAGAAATATTTTGTCAAAATATAGGAATCTGTAGCTTTAAATTATTTTTGAGACACAGAACGGGGAAAAAAAGGAGATCTTCTTACTTACGATTCATGTTTCCTTATGTAGGTTATTGTGACGTGAACATCGTTGCCTTCTACCGTCATCAGATAAGTATAACATCTCTCTGTTGTTACGTTTTCATACATGTTAGGATATCTGGCAAACTCGTACCATCTACCGGCAGTCTGTTGAAAAACGAAAATCATCAGATTTAAGCAAAAGGTTCTAGAAGTCTCTAGAACAATATTAAGCACTGATGAAAGGCAACGTAATTTAAAATGCATCTCACAAGTTTGACATTCTACTTATATGTGCAACCTAACATTTAAAAAATGCATCAATACCGAATTGAAGTGTTCAGCAGGCATATGACACTTCATGTGATAAATAGCCTACGTAAACAGTACTTGGTGGTCAAAATAATCTCCCTCAACATCCACGCAATTTGGACAAGGTTCTGCCAACGACATGAGTCTTTGGCGAAAGAAGACAAGGAGTTAATGATACGAAAAATCTATCAACTGCAAGCTGGATCTCTCGATCGTCAACGAATTTTTTCCTGTGGCTAAAAGACGCTCGAGATGGCAGGAGAACTGAAAAGCAGCGAAAGATTAGTCATCGAAATATGACAATTGAAGAAGAGTTTTATGCCGCAGATCTTTGAGAATCTGTACAGTCATTCGTCATCGAAATATGGCAATTGAAGCCATGATTAAAATATTATCATTACATTGGTCATCGAAATACGGCAATTGAAGAAGAGTTTTATACCGCAGATCTTTGAGAATCTCTACAGTCATTCGTCATCGAGATATGGCAATTGAAGTCATGATCAAAATATTATCATTACACTGGTCATCATTTCGGATTTTAAGGGATTATAAACTAAAACTGGACGGCACAAACGGCTCTTAGAGAGCCTTGGGCGGCAGTTCCCTAGTATCTGCTTTCTAGACTGTAGGCGCGACAGTGCTTGTGCATCTTAGCCTGGACAAATGGTCAGCTTGTCGCAGGATCCCGGGTGTTTAGTCCCCAAGCGAAGTTGGCACTCATTTTATAGAGCCATTCCAGGAATGAAAGTCAACCTTGCCCTGTCCGGGGATCGAACATCGGAACTGCGGCACTATATCTCCGCAACTCGTTGGAGAGCCATGGCCGAGAGTGCCTTGATATCTGCTTTCAAGACCGTGGGCACCGTGGTGCTTGTGCATGGGAAGGGATTATGTCTGACAACTATCTGTTAGAGATTTCCATTCAAAAGATAGCCTACATAGTTGTTTTCAGAAATATCTATATACTGTAATGTATTTTGCAGTAATTTACAAAACAGACAATCTTCTTAGTAGAACATAAATTTTATTTCTAGTTCTTGGTGATAGACAAATTTTATACAATTCTTAAGTGGCAAAATTTTAATACTACTCCTAGCTGGCAAAATCTTCAAATACTGATCTTTTTTTAACAATATCTCTCGTTGCTGAGTAACGGTTTGATACAAATATGGCATTGCCACTTCAACAATAATTATAATTATTTATTAAATAACAAGATATTACAACCACTCCCCCCTCCAGATAAACTTTAATTTATATTTTTATAAATTAAAGTTTACAGTTTTTAAAACAATAATATCAGCACAACACAGAATTAAAATACAAGCATTTAGAGAATTAAACAAGAAATAACATAATAACATACACTGAAGAAGAGAGGAAGGAACAAAATATTTTTTTTTATCTATATAGAGAAACAAATTATTTAATCAGGCCAGGGAATACGACTTAATTCGTCTACATTTTTATGGTTTTTACCACTTCGATGAACGATCGTGTAATTGTAGGGTTGTAGTACCAGTGCCCATCTCATAAGTCGTGGGGATTTAGACTCACATTATTTTTGAGCCAAACTAAGGGATTATGATCGGTTATGATGAGAAATTTAGTATGCCCCGTCTAAATAACATTGAAGTTCTTTACAGCAAATATTATGGCGGCGCATTCCTTTTCTGTGTACAGTACTTTTTTCAGTTTCTGTAAACTTCTTACTGACGTATAATACTGGATGTTCATTGTCTCGTTCATCCTTTTGAGCTAAAATGACACCCATACCAGAGTCCGAAACATCAATTTGTAAAACGAACTTCTGATTGAAATCAGGCGAGTATGACGAGAGGCTTTTGCGGCAGTTTTACTTCTTCAACAACTCGCTCTGTCTGTTTAGTTTCTTTAAAAACTTCTCCTTGACTTGGATACTCAACTTCCAGAACTTGGCAATTCATCTAGAGCTTTTAACTGAGAATCGTTTAATTTTGTCAGTTCTTTTATTCAGATAGTTTTTTGCTCTGTTGCGAAGATGAACCTTTTTTCTTATCTTTTACTTGCACTTCTTATTGAATGTGGCAACTTTGAGTATCCTTTATCATGTTTGTATGCCTCTTTGCTAAGTTTTCTGACGTGTGCGTAGATTCTGAATGTATTTTTAATTTCTTAGCTTTAGAAGCATCTTCATGATTTTATCAGAATTCAGATATTTTATCAGATATAGGTATTTTATCAGAAGTTCTTTGATCTGCTGGTAACAAACTGTCAAACACATCTTTACTTTTTGGAGAAGAAGGAACTGGGGAACTTGTAGAGGAATAATCATACACATTATCCATAGAAGATGAATCACCAGGTAAATAAGGTGAGTCAACTTCCATATAAATAACTTCAGCTTTCTCATCAAGAGATGAACGCTTAGATTGTTTGTCAGATTTCCGTGAAGCATTGACAGAAGCCTGACTTTTAGGTGGGTGAGTATTGACCAAATTACCCTGAGTTTTAGCACTATTATTTGTTTGGTTCTGCATCAAAATTGTGTAGTTCTGCATTTGATCCCTATATTTTTCAGGAATAACAATTACTTCATTTTTATTTCCATTTTTATATAATTTATTTTTCATCAACAGCCCGTTCTCTTTTGCTGTGAAATCATTTTCGAAATTTTCACTTTTAGCTTCGATAAGCAATGAGGCTAGATCTCTGCTTTGATGCTGAGATTAAATTAATTCCTTTGAATTAGCATTAATTATTTTCTTAATTTCCTTGTCTTTCTCATCAGCTTGCGGTAAAATATCTTCGTCAGACTCAATAACAGACAGTTCTTTTTTCCCCATTTCGGTGTCTCTACTTCGATCTCATTCTCGAGATCGTTTTACTTCAGATCGTGTCAAAACCGCATTTATCCTTTCTAAATTTAAAAATTGTTTATTTTTGAACAACTGAGCAGTTTTGTTACCCAATACATATCTGCCTGGATCATTTGTAACAACAGCTGCCTTTGTTTTTATATGACCAAGTTCACAATTAATTTCAACTTCAGCTAACGGTAGACACACTAATGGTCATTTAAAGATATTGTACCCAGACATGTTCTCCAATCATTTTTTTGCTTATCTACGTATTTCGAGAAATAACATCTACTGTGGCTCCTGTTCTCGAAGAATAGGCATTTCATCATACCCATTGACTAAACCGTTAATTGTATACGTCTTTAACAAATCATCATTCGAAAATACGCAATTTATCTTTTCATTTGGTTTTAAGCGAGGACACTGAGGCTTAAAATGTTCATATGATCCACACTCTAAACAACGTGGTCGATATCTTTTGTCATATAAATTTTCTTGGTTTTTGTTTTGGAACTGATTTCTTTGCTGATGATCTTTCTTGTATTTTGAATCACCCCATCTATCAGAATGCTTAAAATGAGGCGGATGCTCTATTTTTTTCACAAAATTATCATAAACGTGGTTTAAAATGATCCTTTGTTAAATTTCTCAGTCTGATTGGAAAGAAAATTTCGGTTTTATTTTTTTTCTCACATCTTCAAAATCTTCAATTTTCTTAACCATTTCAGTAGGTGAAATAATGGTTGTCCATTGATCCATAAAATGTTCTTTGAATCAGGAGAGGTACGCTTTTTTATTTGATCAACCAGCATGAGGTCTTTTATATGTTTAAAAGTTTTAATGTTTAATCCGTTAAGCCATCCTTCTAAATAATTCTTTAATTCATAGTAGAAATCATACCAAGTACTTTCAGTAGATTTTTGGTGTTTATTAAATAGTTGTCGAAATTTTTCCGCACTTAATTTAAATCGCTGTAACAGTAAAGTTTTTACATATTCATACTTTTTCGCGTCCTCTTCTGGTTCTCTAGCAATAAGCTGACCAATGTCGGGAGGCAGCAATGAAATAAGTTGAGTCACTTGATTTTCAGCAGGTATATTCATTATTTTAGCTTGACGCTCAAATAACACCAGAAATAAACTTATTTCATCTTCTTTAGGGTTGAAAAGTGGCATGACATCGTGAATTCTGATTTTTAAAGGCTGCTCAGGTAACTGCGTTGTTTCTACCGGCTGTGCTGTGGCAGCCATTGCTTCCAGTTGAAGTTTCTGTAGCTCAAAGGCTCTAATTCGCTCTTCTCTTTCAAGCTCTTCTTTTCTTTCTTCTCTTTCGCGTTCTTCTCTTCTTTCTCTTTCTTTTCTTTCGCGTTCTTTTTCTCTTTCTTCTCTTTCGCTTTCTTCTTTTCGTTCCCTTTCTTCTCTTATTGCAGCCAGTAGTTCTCGAGTAAACTCCTCATCATAATCGGGACTTTCCGTAATCAGTTTATGCAACTGAGCAATCTTAAATTCAGGTTTCACGGTTAAACCTAACTCTTCTGCTAGTACTTTTAAATTATGTTTTTTTACTCCTAGCTAAGAATGACATGTTGACACAAGTTACTTTTAATAGGCTTCCTTTTGAAATTCAATCTAAAAGCTCGTACTGTATTAAAAATATATAAATTTCTGGCGAGATTTAATTTCTCGAATACGAAATTCACACTACCAATTGGAGAGAATTATTTAAACAACTTGCCAGGTTGGCACAAAATAAATTAAATACTACGTCGGGTTGACGTTTTAAACTCACTATTCACAAGGCCTCGTTAGCTATAACTATATAAACACCTTTGCCAGTTAGGCATACAATGGAATTTTACCAACGTCAGTTTGACGATTTTACTATCTATCTCCACGCCTGGTTGGCGATAACGAAAAACATTTTTGCCAGTTTTGGCAATACAACTTTTTAGAATATACAATCTGTAATACGTCGGGATGACGTTTTATCTACCACACCCTGGATGGCGAGAAC